GTAAAAAAATAAGAATAAATGTATGTAAGAATAAGAATATATAAGAAATAAGAATATAATATAATATAGAGTATTGCCAAATATTGTAATAATATATAGGTACTACGAGTTGTTAAATTTAAAAATAATCTATATTTATCTTATTTTTTACATAAAATTAATTATATTTTACAAAAACTATTTGGGCCAATTTAAATACTTAATACGAATAAACAAGAACAAGCAAAAATACAAGTGCATTTAGATGCTTACCCTTTTTTCATAAGTAGCACACATCACAAATTATATTTTAGTATTTTACTTATTATTTCAGTGTCGATATAACTAGCTTTGCCAAATAAGGATACTCATATTATATATTTATGCATTATATTATACATATTACATAACACTTTATAACTTAATTATAACTTACATTATATTTTACATGATATCGAAACTTGAAATTCGTATAATTTTTTCTTGATTAGTGTGAGTACATATAATTTTGTACATTTTAATGTGATTTTGTTACATACTACAGAAATATGTTTATAAGATATATATATTTGCACACTATGTTAACGGGAAGAAAACATCCCGAAAAATAGGTATAGAAATAAATGCATATTTTGATTAGTAGACGCCTGGATTATTACAAAGACGCAATACATATTACTAGCCTGACCGTTAAGTTGTGTACTAATATTGTAACCACTAAATATTGGTCTTTAGTCTTTAGTATTTCTTTTGATTATAAATCATAATAACAAAATAATAAATTTATAATATGCTCATAATATGCCTCATATACTTATTAAACATGAACTGAATATAGATAATAGACATAACTGAAATACAATTAAAGTAGTGGTATTGTTTACATTTGTAAACAATATGTAGATTATAGCTGATATACAGAACTCGTTGGCCATTCTGTAGTACAAACACAATTAATTCTAAACTGTTTTATTGGTTTGGTTTTTCATCATATTTGGTTATTACGTAAAATACCTATATAAATTAAAAATTTTCTTTCAATGCCTATAATTAGCTGATTAGTTACTTTGTCAAAACAGTAGTAATAATATCATGTTTTTTTCTCACTGATAACAGCTGAAATATGTATCCTACTATTTGACAATTATTTATTAAGTAATGAATTGTTACATACTTACATAATACCTAAATACCTAATGTTAACTTATATCAGTAAAAAGTTAAGTTAAATGTTAATCTTTTGTCGAAAACTTCTAACTTAACTAGTTAGTTTATTTATAAATTATATTTTATATAGTAACTGAGACATTATACTATTCAACTGAATTTCCACAAAATTATCGAAAAATTTAAAATCAAAAAGTTATAATTAAATTAATTTTCAATGAAATATTTTATCTACATTTATCAACAATTTTGAAAAAAAAAACAATATTATTAAAATGCAATAAATAATTATTTATTTTTATAAACCTACCCTACTTTACGTAAAGGTATAAAATATTTTTGTTTTTTTAGTAGGTGACTTAGTTGGTATATTAATCCACTAAATTCTAATTTAACTACCTAAGTATTATTATACTTCATAAACGACATAAACTCTTTAGTAGTTCTTTATTTTAACTAGTTAGACATTATCACTTATTTGCCCAGGTTTGATAAATTAGTTCATCATACACTCTAAACATATTATAAAACATAAATTATAATGTATTTATGTATATATCTATAAATTATAATCTATAACACTTTTGTACTTCACTTTTGATTATTATACAATGCATAATGAGTCTAGATAACTAAATAGGTTACTTTCGTTGTCATATTGCAGAATTTTGGTTATTACCTACTAGGAAACCGATTTACTATCATATTTTGCATTTATTATTATTTTGTTTGTCACTTTACGTTGCACAACCAAGTCTAATATATAAGGTCATTAGGATTTAGGTTAATTAGTTATATTAGGTATCTATTTTAAATATATGTTGTATTGGTGTGACTTGTGAACAGTGGACAATTTCGATTTTGGAGTTTACTCAACTTATATAATTCTCGTTAGTCGTCACTCCTTTTTTGTGTATATTTGATCATTTTCTGCTTATAATATTTATCCATTCGCTTTATAGTAATTTATTTCATTTGTATACTAAATAAATATATTTATTTATCATATTTTTAAGATAATAATTTTTAATATTTAAACTATGATACATATACGGAATTTTTGTGAGCAGTGAGCTAATACCAGTATATACTATATACAAGTATACAAAAGGGATAAAATCTATATTATGCCTATATGATGTTCAGGGCCGGATTGGTATGTATCGGCCCATCGAGATTTTCGCTTCTATAAGTGGCCCATTTACATATTCAGTGGCCCAAAATTACGTCTATAATCATTACGAGCTTAAAGGCAAAGGTGGGCATTAACTAGTTAGTTTATTTTCTAATCAACTTATGAACTTAACTAGTTTAATTTACAGTATAAAAAAATATATTATTTCAATTATTAATTTGAGATGAGTATAGTTTAAATTAGTTAATCACAGTAAGTTAAAATTAAAATGGTATACAGTGTACATTATGATAAAAGTTCAATAAAAATGTTTTTTATAATTTATAAATTAGAAACTAGAAAGACACATTCACTCTTTATGTAATTTGCATAATTATAAAAAAAAAAATTAAGTTAAGTTAATATTTTTTGCTATATAAACTTTTAACTTATCGAGTTAAATTTATAATTTGTTAACTGTTAACTTATCGATCTTGTGTCCTCATAACTCAACTTGAGTTAATTATTTTCATTAACTTTGCTTATAGGTGGCCAATCGTATTTTAAACATGAATTTATTTTCATTCACACTCACAAGACCGTCCCAAACTTTAAGCGGTCCACCGAGATTTTCTCGGTAGCTCGCCTTACCAATCCGGCCCTGATAATGTTATATTATGTACATCGTATACACTATACATATACGACGGATGTACAAGTGTAATACGTATAATAAATTATAATATACAACTTACTGCTGCACTAGGACATTATTAATATTTTAGTCGCCCATATTATCATGTAATGACGCAGTTTTTGATACGTCATAGACGTCATACACCATAGTACACTATTCGTAGAACGTAATGAGTAGAGTATTAGAGTATGATGGGAATACGGGATATACAATGACTGTTGTCGGGTACTCGTATTTAATTATTGTTGTATTATATTTTTTAGTCTGCATAATATTAATGTGTGTATAAATAATTTATAATATTATATTGTTACGTAGTACAGTCAGTACAGACGTACAGCTACACGACTACATAATGAGTGATCACTGATCAATGGCAAGGAGAAAACTCTCATTATAACTTTTAAATAGGTACTTTATAATCTAAATCATTATTATAAGCCAATAATAATATTAATTTTACAATAATGCGCCATAACGATATAAGTTATGATGGAGTATTTTAGTTTTATTTTTTCGTAGATCTTATAAAAATGTTTTTCATTGTTGTACTTTAAATTTTAATCTATACAAGTCAACTGCCAACAGTAAATTATTAGTTCCTGGGTATTCACTATTCACTTGTGACTTGTCATTTATCAATTTCCATTAAACAAAACTTCAAACTATTTAACTATAATGTAATATAATGTACGTGACTATGTGTAATAAACTCGATATTGTAGGTATATAATATATATAATATTATACACACATAATAGGCAAGGTATAAAAAAAGGTATTTTGAATTCAAATGTACTTATTACAAAAATGCAATCGTATTAAAATAAAACATAGAAACTAGATTAAATAGGTACTATTAATAGAACCTACACGGTTTGTACTAAAAGCGATTATATTCGGTTGAAATATTAAGACATTGTGAGTTTGACCTTCATATAATTATAGAATTTTAGTGCACACATTTCTTTAATCTAATCGAAATAAAAAATGAAAACAACAAAATAGTTTATGAACGTAATATGATCCAATGCAATAACAATTAGTGTGCCTGCATAACAGTATTACAATTTATGACCGTTTCCGACTTCGAAGTTCCAACGGAAAGGTGTCGAACGGTGTCACGATGGTCATGTTTTTTATTTTTATAAATTTATTATTTATAAAGCTATTATTATTATTTGAGTAACACCAATACGGCACTATAATATTTATTATTTAATATTACTATCTCGGCCACCAAACGTCTGTCATCGAAGCCTGCCAACAATAATTATAATTAAACGCTCACCGAATGATCTATCGTTTGCCAGTAATTATACGCGCATAGATCGGGTTACGGTTTTCTTCTCTCCCTCACTCTCTCTCTAATTGATCAACGACACGGTTTCGTGTACCACCTACGTCAACATCAGTAACCAAAGTAAGCGGATCCGTCTATTAAAAAAATATCATTAAGAGTTATGATATATATATATATATACATAGACACATAGTAATCCGAGAATCCTATCCGGGAACCCGAAATGATGACAACATTATAACTATTACGTTGTCGCACACTTTATAATGCATTTTATACCACAATTTTATTGTACAAGGCAACAGTGCTCAAGATATGATAATAATATTATTAATAAATGCGACTAGTACAACGGTGGTCGATCAATCGCGACGACGTTTTATTAATTCGTTTAATTAACGCGAGACTAGAGCAAGTCAACACGGTCGCGTTATACACCGTTCGCGGCGGCGCCGTTCGGGAGAGAGGGAAAAGACGGTGAGATCAACACGCACGGCGGGCCAGACGGTGGCACCGCCCGCCCGCCGTCTTGTGCGTCGTTTTACGTTTCTGAACACCAGCCAACAAAACGACACGGAACCGCAGCGGCGTCGTGCGCGTGCATTTCCTGCGCGTTCACTGCTGCCGTTCACTGTACACGACGCTCCGTCGGCCGTGTGAGAGCGCTGCTGCTGCTACAGCCGTTCCCGTTGACGACGACGCCACCACCGCCACGTTGTGGACGAAGGACGGCCACACGGATGGACATCCGCGGTGGACGCGATAGGCGGCCGGGCGACAGGCGTCCGCACAGGGGCCCTCGGGCACCTAGGCGGCCGCAGTGGTCGCCCGACCAACAGCAACGTGTAGTGGTCGGCGCTGAAATGGCGGCCGGTTCGACGGCCACGGCCTCCACCGCCGGCCCTTGCAAACCACCGCCGCCGCCACCTCCCCGACTGCTACCGTCACCCAGACTGCAACTGTCACAGCCCCCGCCGCCCCGATTGATACGGCCACAGACTCCACCGACGCCGAAATCGCCAGCAACGGAACAACCACAGCCACCTCAGCCGTCGACGCCGAGGTTACCGCCGCAACAGGAATGCCGGATACGGGAATCCGGTGATGGAGTGGAAGACTGCGTAGAGGCTGCCGGAGGAAGCGGCGTGGCCGATGACACTGAACTGCTGGCCAAGCTCCGGTGTCCTAGCGAGAGCGCCGAGGTGGTCGCCGAACGGGAGAAGCGACGGCAGCGACGACGGTGCCCCGACTATCCTGGGCTAGCGCTTTCCAGTTCCGTGTTCAGCACGGAAACGGGCATGAAGTTCAGTATCATCAGGAACGAACTGCACAACGTGCTCAAGCCGCAACTGCGACGGGTAAGTCGGTGGCGGTGTGACCGCGGTGGCAGCGGCGGCGGCGGCCGACTCTATTTGTAGCAGCTGACTGCCCGTCGACCGCCGACCGCCGCCGCCGCCGTCGACGAACCATCTCCCATCATCGCCGACGTGGAACCACCGCGGGTTCTCAACGTTTCAGCCGGTTATTCCGTCCGTCCGATTCTCGTCTCCCCGACCGACCTCACCAGGGCACCCTCCCACTCTCGCGGCGGTCGTACTCGTAGGGCCGTGATCGCGGCGGAGGATCCGTGGTTCGATTTTCGATTCCGTTTTTCGGTGCTACACGGCATTATAGTTTTCGACCTTTAACGACCACTGGTTCTGCCGGCAATTATTATTTAAACGTATAATTAAACCGTAGGCGCGGTGCCAACTATCCCAACTGCTGCTGTGGCAGCGGCGGCGGCGGACCAGATCCCACACCGCATTCCGGGGGACTGACTGTTCGTTCGGCCACCTCCAGCTGGTGCCGTCGCGCCGTCAACCTTCGCGTTCTTTCCGATATTGTTATTACGCGCAGCGCTATGACGCCGCCGCTATTATAACGTACGCTATTATTATAGTGGTTATGGTTGTCGCAGCCCAATAGTTATTACTATTGTAATTTGTAATATATAATATTATTGTGATTGACATGGCGCGTCTTTTTTGTTGTTGGCACATCATACTTAGGCACTACATAATATTATTATTATTATTACAATGCACGATAAATCGTCATACCGTTTATACGCATTCAACAAGTCCTCGGTGGCGTATTTGCGGACCGAGGGTCTGGGTGCCGGTAGGCATTAATCCCCCCCCCCAACAATTCAATGATCAGAGTCTATAAATACGTTGTTACTTGTTGACAATCTTTTATGAATATGTGATCAACAATTTTACTTGTCATCTACTTGTATTGTAAGTGTTTTTAGTGTGTTTTTACACTATTCCCTCCTCATCTCGCCTTTTGAACGTCTCAAATACGCCACTGATATGCAATTCGGTGGATACGCCAAAATATGCGGCCTTGTTCTTAATATTCCGCGATATCGATAACATGTCGACGACGACGGAGATAGTAACGGTTTTTGATAATTTTTTTCGCATAAGTACGTCTCACGTAACCCATCATAATACCGTACGACCATATTAAATCATAACCTAGGCGTATTATTAATAGGGCACAGATGTTGTAGTAGTTAACAACAACTATTGAAGTTGATTGCTATAGTATAAAAAAATAACAAATTACAAAGAGTTTCGTTATAAATGTTAATTTGTTATTTTGTTTTTTAACTTAACGGTTAACAGTATACTTTGAATAAATATCCAATAATGTTTCACACCTATTTTCATTTTTCATTTCTTAAATGATAATTTTAATAAATAAGTATTAAAGACAAATTGAAACAATCTAAACATCATTGCATTGGAAAATTGCTATAACGCAACAACATACGTGCCCTAACTATTATTATTTGTATAATTCAATAATTGAATATCATATTATATTCATTGTAAAGAATCGACAAAAACCGGAGGCTGTCTGCACATAATAATGAATTTTATTATTTTATATAATACGGTGTAGTTAGTTGGTCGCACGTTCGCTTTAGGTAGTATTTTACTGTTTTACTACTCACCGGTTACACGTGTATTGATTTATGTGGTTTTTTTCGTGTTTTATGGTTCTCTTTCTCTGTTAAGTTAAAACCGTTTCAAGGGGAGTTACGGCATTGCCTACATAGTACCTAATACAGTAGGTGTGGCTAATCGAAAACAAAACCGCGTGACCGGTCAAATATAGGCGTATAGATATAACTCGAAAATGCGTGTGGTTTTGTAAAAAATAACTTTTTGTTTAACTTTTGTGTTTATATATTATGCATCACGAAAACATCATATATTCGTATCATCAATAATAGTTATTGTGAAGTACTGAAGTGTAGGTGTAGTAAGTTATAACCTATATAAAAATATATTATAAATATATTAATAAGCCTACGAGTGTAGTACAATTAAAAAATGTAGCGTTTTTTCATTAACTATTTTTTTTCCTTATACCGGCTGATTATAAAATCAAGTCCAATTATTATGAAACACACTTTAAATATAGGATGTGGGAAATTGACGATTTACAAAAATCACACTGCATACTATACTAAAACAAATTGACCATTGTAACATCTTTTTAATACGTAGAAAATAATATTTATTTAATATTCATACAACGAAATAATCTTTATGTCTAAATCAATAATTATTAACGTTGCAATAAATCGCACTTTGGAATTTGCACGTGTCCGTGTTTGTTTATACGAATTAAAAATAGAGAAAAACATTAACGATGTTCGTATAATATGACGTGGTGTTGAATAGGTTTTAACGAATACAAATTCGAAAGATGTTATGATAATATATTATTACACATTTGATTGAGTAGGTATGGCAGATTGTAGATTTAATATTTAAATGATATTTAGGAATTTATTTTGATTATTGTGTGGTAAAAAACTTTTTGTGTTGCGTACACACAATTTTCAACTTTTATCAAACATCTGACATCAGCTAAGAATTTCTCATAACCGTGCAAACACTGCACAAACTGCAAACCTTTAGAACAAACAGTTTGAATTCTTTAAAGTCCCTTGATTAAAATCTGTGTTTGTGAAATGCACAGTAAAGATTAATGAATATAAATCGTTTCGTTTTATACAATCACGACTCGAGCTATTCACGCGTACAAAAAGTATTCACAGATAATAACGTGATGGTTTCGTATTTCGTTGGAACATGTAACGGCTTAAACTGTGCATGGTGGCCATATTATTATAATGTCGTATACATAGCGATTTTGTCTCGTTGTCCCTTGACTACTCTAAGCTCATTTTTTAAATACACATTTTCATGTTTTGTCGTATGACCGTGCCTCAAAGTTTTGTTGTACCTCTCATTCCGACCCCCCACCCCCACTCCAGGATAACTCGTCCGTCGTGTTTCTAGTGTCGTCGTATTCGGTATGTAGAAGAGGTTTAGAGGTGTACATAATAACAATAGTAATAATATCGTTGTACGTAAAAGGCGAAACATCGTCGGAACACACGGGACGTCATGACATGCAGGTGTTGCGAAAGGAAGAGAACGTATATTATGATGATTGCGAGCGAAAAGTCTACTCCACCGCCCCTTATTTGGCGAAACACTTGTCGTGCGTGTCAGTGGCACACGACCCTTGTGCGCGCGTAACAATAATCAACGATGAAACATTACCATATTTAGCATATTATGGTCCGGCCGATCGCTACAAGACGAGTTCGGAGTCACAAGTCACAACAGATGGCCCGGTCCTAGCGGCTTTTGTGCCGATGGAAGGGGTGGGCGAGGGGAGGCGCGGCGCGTTTGAGGAAAAGCCGCGCGGGACGAGATTTCTGCGACCGTCCGCGGAACCAGTTCGAGATATTTTTGCGCCGGCCGGCCGGTCTCGGTCGACGCGAAATACGAGCGGAATTACCGCCGCACCGACCGTCGTCGAAATCCGGCAACGTCGCCCGCAAGGCCACCGCCCCGACGGTACTTCGCCGCCCCGACACTCTGACGGGCTGGGCGGGGCGCGCGCATGACCCGCGTACATGTGTGTGTGTGTGAGCACTGTGCGCGAGTATTGTATTCGTCCGACGAACCGTCGTCGTAGGTATTATTATTACTATTATTATCGTAAATACAATAATATTATATACATATATATATATTATATTATGTTATAATAATATTATCGTATAGTTTGGTTGGTTACTGGTTGGCCGTTAGCGAGCGAACGAGTGTGCGTGTCGCGAGCGCGCGCGTGTGTGTGTGTAGGGCTTCTGCAGTGCGTCCCCGTAACCGAACGTTGCACGTAACCAACGTAAAAATATTAGCGGTCGTCGTCACCACTCTCCAGTCACCGACAGTGGTTGTGGACTTGTTCCCGGTGTCAGTGACTCAGTGTGCGTTAGCTTGTGTGTTCGCGATTTGTGTGTGTTGTCCGTCCGTCCGTCCGTCCGTTACCGCGACAAACGCGTGCCGGCTCACCCGCTGCCCCGTCGTCCGTCCGATTTTCCCGGACAACGTGAGAAAACAACGCCCACGTCGTACCAAAAGCGTAGTTTACGTCTCTTCCCGGTCAGGCACACGAGGGTGGTGGCGTAAGTGCGCGGTTTTCCGGTCGTCGTCTTGTTCGTTGGTCGTTTGTCCTCCCCTCGCCGCGAATTCACCATGACCACCATACAGCAGGGTTCGCTGTTGGACGTGCTGAAGAAAAAAATGCGTCAGACCAAGGAGGAGATGGAGAGGTATAAGGAGGAGTGCGAGGATTTCCACAAGAAACTCCAGATGGAGGTCATGAGACGCGAGGAAGTACGTTGAGTTTTCCGGCATAATAAATAATAATACGCCTGCCTACCTATATAATATTATAGTGGTTACTCGTGATTTCGCAAAAGCAACCCCCCCCCTTCTCCCCAGAAATACTGACTACGATCACAATAATAATGTGTCAACGATGCTCAACCAAACTGTTTTTGAAGTTCATATCTTGAGCCCTATACCGTTTCGCTGTTGACTAGGGCTGATAGTAGTGGGTGGCACGTAAGATCCTCCGTTAAAAGCATATCATACTCAACCCTACGTCCCTACTGCCGTTTACACCTTCTTTTTGCAAAATTTTGTATTAGGTAGGTACACTTTTGAATTTCAGATGAAAAAAGATTGTAATTGCCTATGTGGCTCTACCTATGTATTGTGAATGGATTTTGATTTTTACTCCATTTCAATTATCCATTTGTCTGGTTATCCATCTATATTTGATTGATTTATTTACTATTGATGAAATAAATATGACTTAACTTTGTTTATCCTACAAAAAAGTGATCAGTGTATATCTAAAGGTTTTCACTCATTATGTAGTCGATAATATTTTCTATGTATTTATCAAATAGTTACTTTAGTATAAGCGTAAATGTTAATGTAAAATGGACTTATATGTATAATAGGTAGGTATTTGCAAAATTTTATTGATAATTTGGTAGTCTATTGGCTCCATGTTTAGTTCAATATACGTATCCTGTACGGCTATTCACTTGTACAGTTATTGTAGATTAAAACAACATGATAATTGGAAACAAAACATTTAACTGGGCACATTTCATTCATTATCATTATTGTGACGTGTTTTAATACCTACCTATTAGTTGTTGAATATGCATATTTTTGATCTAAACCCCGATCTAAACTTAGAATTCAAAATGTAAAGTTATACCTAGCACTTTTAATGCAAATATTCAACAATTAATAGGTATATCACCTATGTAGATATATAGGTACTAAATTAGTTATTGTTTGTTTATTAGGAATAAAAAAAAACAACGACGTTATCTATTTAGATGTGTTGTTGGTAAACGTACCTATATGTTTGTAGGTACCTCATATTTTTATTTTTGCTTAAAGCTAAGAAAATAATTGTTCACATATCATTCAAGAAAATTAAGATTTATTGTTGAAATTTAATCAGCCATTAGTCATTACTCATTATACTCATTAGTCCCGTCATTAGTCAACTATAGAAACCAAGATTAAAAATATAGAAACCAATAATCTAATATATTGTTAGCAATGAACTATATGGAACTTATTTATTCATAACTATTCGAGGAAAAAAATTTTAATTACCTAATTGTTACAAAAAATAAGTGTTATCTGAATATTTTATTGATTGTTGCACTTTAAAAATTGGAGTTATGTAATAATTAAAAATGTTAGACCGTGGGATTAATAGTTCATATATTTTGAAATTACCCATAATTTATATCACTGGTTTTTAATGTCATTGATCAAATACAATATAATATGAATACATAATTGTTATTTATTATTGGGTAAAATAAATTAACATAAGACTTATACCTAATTTATTCAATTTAATGTTTATTTATGTGACATCTTAAACAAACCTTAAACATTCATAATACTGATAATATGATAGGGGAATTTAAACACAAGCATTATTGCATACAAACTTTGAGTTTAATAACTAAACAGTTTTGTAGTATGTAAAATTAAGCTGATCATTCAAGGTTATATATGGAACGATGAGGCGTGATGAAATAATTTATCTCCTAACAATGGGCTTCATGTGTGTTAAATATACAGACAGTTTTGTCTGCTGTGAATTCAGGAAGTTACGGCCTAGGTTGGGTTTCCTGTTAATTTGGTATTTTACACCTGAATATGTATAAAATAGGATATTTATATTTGTATTTACATAATGTTTACTTTTATGTGAACAATCCTGTATAAATATAGGTCCAATAAAAATCTATGAAATATTTCCCCCCGCATAAACAGCATTATGCTAAATATTTATTGTTAATTTTTCATTACAGGCTGAAAGTGAAGTTGCTGCACTTAACAGGCGTATCCAATTGTTGGAAGAGGACCTTGAAAGGTCTGAAGAGCGCTTGGCCACGGCCACTGCTAAGTTGGCCGAGGCATCTCAAGCTGCTGATGAGTCTGAACGGTAAGTGTGTGTTAAATGTTTGTCAAAGGTATTAGTGTTTCAGGATTCTAGGACTCATAGATTCTTAGATCTTAGGTTATATTTTGATCTCAAAAAAACATTTATAGGTACTAGTTCCTATATTTATTTTAATAATATCAAATAGGTTTTGAACGTTAAAAACCAATTACTATAATATTATCTTGTAGATAAATACAATTATTCAGTGTGAATAAATACTACTTGTAATATTATTTAAATTAGACATTTTATATCCTAGCAGATAATAAATGTAAAAGTAAAATTATTTATTACAATATGTTAGGTAGAGGTATATTTAGTTAAATATATTTTAATAGGCTCATTAAATATAGTATACATTTAAAAATCTTAAAAATCATTATATTTACATTATCTTGTTGTAAATTCTGTCACGTCGTCTTTATGTAGGTAAGTTTAAATTACCAATATATATCCATTAACAATGTTTTGTCTGATTTAATTTGCAAGATGTAATACCTATTAACTATGTTTAAAAATGCTAGTTCTCATTTACTTATAATAGGTACTATAATAATTGATAACTAACATCAGTTTTTAAATATTTTACTAAAGCCTCCTAAGTGAATGTTGTGTGCATGTAAATCAAATGTAAAAATCATAAATTAAACTTGGTGTGAATAAAGATAATATTATATTTACAATTTAAAGATATTTTTATCATAAATGCTTGAAAACTATTGAACTTATCCAAATTACCAAAATCTTATTTTAGATAATCTCACTCAATTTATTATAAAAATGTGCTTAGTTTATAATGGCTATATTTTGATTGACATTGGTACAAAATGGTTTTTATCTATAAATTTGTAACTATTCACCTATCAATAATCATAATTATATGGGATAATTTTTTATTTTATTCGGTAAATGTAGGTTATTAAAATATGTACCTATTTAAATTTGTATAAAAAAATAGATTATAATTTTTATTAAACTCTCATTAGATTTGCCTATTCAAATTCCCTTAAAAAGTGAATATAAAACATCTTTTGAATTAACTTTATATACCTAAAAATTTACTTCTTGCAAAATACAATTTCGAAATAGGTATACTGTGTACTTTGGAAATTTTCATCTTTAATTTAAATATTTATTTGTGTTGGGTATTCAAAATTTTACAGAATTGATAAAAATTATTAAAAACATCTAGGTATAATAGACATAATAAACAGGCATGTCACCTAAAGTTAAATTTTCACTATCATCGTGCATGTTTCTAACGCCTAACCATATCAAATGTATAATGTTAAATATTATAGTGTTCAATACTTGAGCGTTTATTCAAAGTTTGTGGAATATTTTATGCGCAATTTAATCTAGCTGACATGCCTGTTTATTTAGTAATAAGTATAGATAATTGAATTTAAATTAATTTAAGTACAACTACAGATATTCTATTCTAATATGAAGAATGATATCTATATTTTTTTAACCAGTAGGTATCAGAGATATGCTTTACATTCATATCAAGGAAATTTTCTTCAACTACAAATTTAAAATTAGTAAACTATATAATGACAAAATTAAAAGGCATAATATATAGATTAAATAAAAAAAAAAATAATTGTATCTATAATAGATAATATAGTCCTACTGTTTGTTTATGTGTTTAGATAATGATATAGTTAATATTTGAGATATCTTATTGATATTTTAAAACCACTGACATTTTTAAAACTTAAATTATTTTTATTTCATTAATTAAGTTCTGCATGTTATTTACACATACATTATGGTTTGTATTAATATAAATATTTCAAAAATGAAATGATGTATACATTTATTTTTTGTAAACCTCGCTTTCTTAGAAATTTGATTAAATTGTAGGACCTTACATATTATTTTCTATCTTGTATTCAAATTTGTCTGATTAGTGTTCAGTGATTTATTTAAATTTATAAATATGCAATTGATTATCAATTTTCATACATTTATACTATCCAAATTCTTTGAGATTATTATTAAAACTAATTATTTTTGTTATTCACTTGATTCCTTCAAAATCATTGAATTAAGTATTTATTTTATAGTTTATACAACTTTTATGCATCAAATAAGTCAATACTTTCACTATAGACAACCGCTTATAAACCAACATTTCATTTTAGATTCTTGATTATGTACTTAATAGGAAATAGGTAAATCATAAACAATTATGTATTACATAATCCACTACTTACTAATTTGTTTTCAAGTAGAAAATTCTAGTTTAAATTATATTTATCATGTACTACTTTCCCGCTAAAACAATAACGCTGTGTGTGCATCTGTTTGATGTGTTGTTGTTTGTAAATTAAAAGGATCCGAAAAGCATTGGAGAACCGAACAAATATGGAGGATGACCGAGTAGCCATTCTCGAAGCTCAATTGGCACAAGCCAAACTTATTGCCGAGGAGGCTGACAAAAAATATGAGGAGGTAAAATAACAGCATCTGAGTATTTTTTTTATTGTGTTTCAAATTGTTTTACAACCTTGTCCTTATATTCCTGATAAGCACAAAAACACGACGTGGCTACATGGACACTGTAGGTATTGTTCATTTGACTGATTTGGTTAGGAAAATTAAAATAAGTAGATTTTTTGTTAGGAGTTATAAATCCCTTGAGTAGATATATAAGTATATTGATAGGTACAATTTAAGCTCTAGATTTATAGGGAGTAACTTATTGGTTGGGATTTATATAGTGCACGTAAGGTGTTGGAAAACCGCAGTTTGGCCGATGAAGAACGTATGGATGCATTGGAGAATCAGCTAAAGGAAGCCCGCTTCTTGGCTGAAGAAGCTGATAAGAAATATGATGAGGTGAACGATAGTGTGTTACTAACACTATTAAATCGTTATCTCACTTGAATTTTACTAATCAATAATTTTACAAATGTCAGTTGTATGCAACTGTAATATGGCATAATGTGACTCAAACAAAATCTGTGTGAAAACAAATGAGTCCATAAAATGGAAATTTTATTACTAATGGCTTAAGGATAATAAAAAACCATCAGTAAAAATATAGGCGTTTTCGCTGTTGGTATATTTTTATGAGTTTTGGCAGTTTGTGCAAACAATAATTTTTATTTTTTATTGTTTTGTGAATTTAAACTTTACCATTATTAAATTGTTTACATTACCTAATTATCATTTTTTATTGAATCCAAGTAATATTGACATTTTATATATTAAAATATATCCTACTTCAAAATTATATACCATTGACATAGGCTGTTATGAGTTTTAAGAACTATTGTCAAGTTTTTTTTCTGTTATGTTTTTGTTTTTAAAAATATTGTAAAAAATTGATTACATATTTTTTAAGTGTCTTGAATTTTATTTTTGTGTTAAATAATGAAAAATAACATAACATTTATTATGTATTCATAATTCTATTTTAAAATTAAAATTTATATCAAATTTATTTATTTAAAAGTCGATATAAAAAAAGCTGTTCAGATATATATTATTCTATGAAATTGTACTACTTAATAAATCGTAATCTTACGTAATTAATGTTACACTCGTAATTTTTGTACATGTATACATTTTTTTGTTTATAACCGACTTTTACAAAACTGTATGCTTTTAATGATAATGAATAATAGTATCTATTATTATTTTATTATTGTTATTCACAATGTTAATGTTTTGGTAATTTTAAGTTGGCTAAAAACTAATGGGAGTTTTAATAATTTATCTAATATTTGAGTTGTTTGATATATTATTTTTCTTGTGTAACTGAATAAATCAGTATTTCTGTTTTAATTTATTTTTGTATTATTTTGAACATTTTTAGTATCATAATTACTATATACCTAATAATATATTATAATATTATGGTTCTAAAAATATGAGCTATCTTGTTAGAATTGAGCAATTGAAAGGTGATTATTGACTCTGTACTATTCTGTAGTGACTAGTGACTACAATGTTATATTCAGCCAGTGTCTACGATGTATATACGATATTAATATTTTAAGAGAAGTTCTCAAAGAGTTGAAGGTATTATGGTTTTTAAAATAAATTACGAAAACGACAGATTGACGTAGTCCGATGAAAAAAAAAATATGTCCGCCCAAGACGTCATAGTAGGATAATAAATAAAAAATTAAAAACGAAAGCTCATAGTCGATTAGTGGACACGATGTGGCATTCAATAAAATAACAATGAAACAAATCAATCAATCTATAGTGAAATCTCATGTGAAGATTGTGTGTACACTAAAAACGGCATAATAATAATAATACATGTTAAACGTTATTACGGTTGCGTATAGCCACTATTTGCATTCCTCGAATTGTTTTATAATATTATGAAGAAACAAAAAAATCATTTCTAATAGGATTATAAGTCGTAAAATGACGGTACGACGTTACGGGCGTTACATACTTTTTGTATGTGTAATAATAATATATTCAACACGACGGTAACCGGGGAAAAGGGTGTATTCGGTCTGTAAAAGAGAGAACTGGTTTTGTTGTCCGAGAATGAGTTTCATCCATTATCATAATTCTTCTTCTAAAATACACACATTCTGTTATTATTATATGTATTGAAAAATACTTGAAACGACGTACACTGCTCGCGTCTTATGAACGTCGAATGAAAGACTTGTAAACTATATAATAATATTATTATAAACAGTTAAAATAAAACCGATTCCGACGTCGTTGTTCCTAGCAAATCCGTATAGGCATACAAGGCATTTCAATTGGGAGGGATACAGATTTTTTTTATGAATGTAATAGCGGCTAAACGCAATATAAACTTATAACAGCAATAACGTCATAATATTTTGCGATCAGTCTTCCAGAAAAAATTGTGAGCCTATAATATTACACAGCAGTATCAGTTTACGATAAAAGAGTATGGTTGGACTCCCGGGGGGTGGTAATTGCATATTGATGACTTATGTGTCTCATGAAAAATTAAATTAATACATCGATGGTTATACACCAAACCTCTATGCCCTATTATAAGTTTTCTACGATCGACGGCCATCAATTTTTTTCAGTTATATATATTATAGTCGGTCGGATGCAATATTGATTCAATATGATTCATTATGTCGGTCGGATGCAGAAAATCCTATGGGAATAACAACTTTTTATCGGTGTAACGTCCGATCTCCTTGTTTGGACAAAATATAACAATATTATATTATGGTTGTGGGGAGGGACTAAGAATTTTATATTATATTATTTTGTTTTTTTGTCCCTACCGTTTGCACTTACAACAAATTAATTCAGTTTCTTTTCATGGTTGCTAATCGGCGTTTTTGTTACTTCTTATCTACATTCTACTGTCCCACACACATATTATTATATTAATATACATAAATATGAAAAAAAATATTATCATTTTCTCACGACCTATGCATTCGACTTGTTTAAATTTTACACAAGCGACGAAATTATAATTCCAAGGTCTTTACGTTTTTATGTACGCGTATCATATTATACAATATAATAATAATACGATGTTGTAACTTGTATGTCCTATGTCTATAGGTATGTAGATCTGTAAAATTAAAATATTAAATAATCCAGCAGAAATAATTTTTAAACACTCATACCGATGTGAATCGTCCTTAAAAACACGTCCGATTAGTCATTGTTTTGACTCCAGTTGAAATAATTACCCGGTAATGTTGCTTTTCCGTATAATGTTTCGAAGAACAACAATTCCGATTCATATATTATCATCACAATCATGAAATTATTTTACTTATGCGTACCTTGTACGTACAAAGCATACATTAATGATAGATATAATAATACTTTTAACTTCAATCACAAACTAAATAATAATAATAATATTTTGTAATATATTTTTGTTTTTTTAAGAATAATCAATAATCGAGCCGTCCAAAAACATAGATTTGCCCGTTAATGGGTATTTTTCCTACGATAACCAATGACGACATATTAATAATAATAATAATAATATGACGTAGGTATCTTATAAGTAATAATATCATAATATGTCTAAATTAAGAGGACGCTATACTCGCATGCGTTGTCTCCGTCTTACAAATGCACAACATTGCAAATACTGTTTTGTACATTTGTAAGACGGAGATAGCACATGCGGGTGAAGCGTCCTCTTAATAATAGGACGTGACATAATTTTGTATAAACACAAAAAGTAGACCATATGGATATTTCGAACGTTGACGTCGCTCTATGAATAATATTTTAAGAAGGATAATACAAAGAATACGTTTAAAACGTAGGCACTGATGATAATAAGTCGTTATTGTTTCGCCGACGAGTCTAAATTCCTGACGTCCAGGCGGTCCACATTTTTGTCAACGTGGACGTTACAATATATTATTATACAGAGCGATTCTATATACACCACCGTACACGCTGGACGTCCCTCACTCGAATTTTGTGTTTTTGGGTGACTCAATACAACGCTAAATAATGGTAAAAAGACGTTTACCATTATTTAAGAAAAAGAAGGCCACTCTTTATTATTGTTTATCTCTCGGGGAGCAATACTAACATTTGTTTTCTCAGTCTGGCATATGACAACATGTATTCCGTACTTCCACGACGTTCATTTAACAGGACGCTACACAGATATTTGTTATCTCCGTCTTACAAGTGCGTAACATCGCAAATTTACGCCCAGAAGATCACGTTTACCTCTGTTAGTTTAAAAATTATAGTAAATTGACCCATCATGTAACTTGATGGTAAGAACATTATCTGGGTTTGTAGTGGGTTTTTTACGATAATTCAGTTTTTAAATGAGTTATGAGCATTTTTAATTTACACTACATTATATACGAATAACTTGCTAAAAAATTTAACTATTGTAAAAAACCCACATACAAGAACAGATAATGTTCTTAACATCAAGTTTCATAATAGGCCGATTCACTCTAATGTTTAAACTAACTGAGCGTACATTTTCCATGTTACGCACTTGTAAGACGGAGACAACAAGTGGCCGTGTAGGCTTCTCTTAAGGGCAAATAGATCTATATACCTTGTTATTTACGAGGTTCTTATAGTATAGATTAGTTTAATTTCAGTGCATTAGCCAGATAGTTTTTATTTCAATTTTAAGAAGTTCTTAATGGTTAAAAATAAATTAAATTAAAACTCGTTTATCATTATAAAAAATTCAAAAAACTACTGGACCTAGACCAATTCATAGGAAATAAGTAATAACCTTCTCTATAAAAACGTACCATAGATGGTCGTTGTCCCTTTGCCTTAGACTGGACTTAAGAATCGTAATCGTGTTAGTACGCAATAGTGCAATACTTTTGTTGCCAGAGAAAACAAATATTAGTATGGCAGCCTTTCAAGCGGAATATTTTTATGAAATATTCATTTGTAAAATGTAACGGATATTGAAATAATAGCTTTCTATTTATATCTTTTGAGCTTCACAATGATTTGATAAGCGGAGTATTTTTGAGCAATTTCGCTGAGTTTCTTCTACCACTAGTGTTTTTTACTGTCTAAATATTCTTTTGAATGCTATTATGTAAAAAAAAACAATTTGAATATTAATTCTACGCCAAATATTCAAAAAAATATCGAACAATTTTTTTCTCTTTTTATTTCGTAATAAAATAATTAAAGATTGACAGTTTTGGGAGTCGTTACAAAATTGCCACTATTAAAAAAAACTGTAAAAACTTGACGAACATAATATACGGGTCGATGAATGTTAGCGTGTTACGTTTTAAACAACTACCTATGTATACAATTGGTTTACCAATAAAAAATGATAACAGTTTCTAGAAAATATTATAATATTAGCAAAACGTTTTGTATTTCAAAGATATTCTCTCGCACACAGAATGAGTGCAATTTTGAGGAATTATCATGACTCATGAGCTAATTTTTCCGAGTTTTAACAATGTATAATCATTCGAATTTTTTTTTGGACGATTGACGAATCTCGTTTAATTGTTAGTTTATAATGAAATATTATTGTCGTTACATGTGGGTTCTTTCGAAGTTTCGAATGTTATCTTGTGAGCGGACACGGTTTGTAATCGTCGCGAAAGCTTACGTATGTAGTTATTGGTTGTAAACTCGTTCAGCTAAGACACCATTTTTTTCATAATAAGGCATTGTGCATCCATAATGGTAATGACTAATGTACAACCGATTTCAAATAACGGGTATTGTTACTGTTTTGTATTTGTTTACAAATATAATAAAAATAACAACTACTGAGTGTATTGGCTGAATCGGTATTCGTCATAAAATAATAATGAGTATAATATTATGACGTGTTATTACTTAAAATAATTGTAATGCATGTATCGCTAATATATTATATATTTATCGTGCTGGTTGATTTTGTATAAACATTTTTTTACTTGATAGGCAATTAAAATTAATTTTTTTGTATACGTGTGTTTGTAAAATACGTCACTAGTATATCACTCAGTATTAATTTGTTTAATGTATAATGTAATTTTTAAGTTAAATGTTAATCTTTATATTGTAAAACGTTATAGTCGACCATCTAGGTATATTTTAAAGTCGGTTTACTTGGATTCAATAGTAATTTTGTTATATAAGCCACACAGTTTGCATAATTAAGTATATTAGAATGATATAGGATAACTCGTTAGACTGTTTGTGGTTTGTTCTCTGTTTAACTCGTCGAAATCTAACAATTTTACTGTCTTGGTGTTCTTTTGCATATCAAATTGACTATACATACCTATACATTCCTGTCATTCCTAATCAATAATAGTAACATTGTTTACATGCTGTAGAGTGTTACAAGTTAATATAATATAATATGTAAATGTTTAATGTGGTGTAGCTAAGGGACCAGGAACTGAATGAAACACTACTCCCCCCACATTCCACAATGAATAACAATGATCCGTTATTTTTTTCTTTTAAACCATCAGCCTTGCAAGTCGACTAATTTATCTTGAATTTCTCTATAATCAATGCCTTATAGCTGTTTTATTTTACTGTCCTATTGGTCGAAAAATATAAATATGATTATTACATATTTATATGTACCTGAGTGGCTGAGTGTGATAGTGGTAGTATATCGTATATATTATTATAATATGGCGCCCATCAATAATTACTAGGTAACTCTATAGTAATCTTATTAGGTATACTGCAGCTAAATGTGTTTGTTATAAGAAGTGGTCAAGGGGAATGGTGGTATTTTATTTTCTCCATTGGAGAAAAACAGTAACGGAGACTGCTAAAGTCTGATTTTCATGAAGTAATTTATTTATATTCGCCCCGACCTACACTGCAGATATCCTCGCTACACCACTCTATACATAAATACATATGGTATATGATAATGTGTGTGCGTGTGTGTGTTCATTAATTTACCTATTTCTTAATACCTATTTGTATAAAAAATTGTTAAGACCGTTTTTGTTTAATTATCTTTTTTGGGAAATTATTGCGATTAGGTAGCGCGTAAGCTGGCCATGGTTGAAGCCGACTTGGAAAGAGCCGAAGAACGTGCCGAATCAGGCGAATCGTAAGGACGATTAATAAATCATTAGATTTACACATATGAAAAACACTTAAAGGAAATCGTTGGATAATTTTTATGATTGCGATTTTTCATTGCTTTAGCAGAACATATACTGTAGTGTATTATTATATCATATAATATTATACTACGCTTAAATAATAATTGTTGCGCGCATAATTAGTGTTATTAAGTTTTTTTGGGCTTTATTCACAATCATAGTAATTTTCATAAAACAAAATACTGAAGCTTATATAGTTTCCATTCGGCGGCTGTTTGAATTTTTTTTTTAGTTTTCGTTTTCGGTTTTCGGTTTATTTTTGTTTTTGTGTTTTGTGTGTTTTTCATCTATCCATATTATATAATATTGTTATATATACATTATCTATATCTTTGTCCTTTTTCCAATTTGTCCAATATATTTTATTATTTTTAGTTTTATTGCATGAAATTAGTTTGTTATATTTTTTTTATTTTCAATTGCAATTAGGTCGGCCGTAAACTGGTCATGATGGAACAAGATTTGGAAAGAGCTGAAGAAAGAGCTGAACACAGCGATGCGTAAGTATATTAGTCGTTTTAAAATCGAAAAGTGAGAACGCGCACTTCGAAAATAAATTTAAAAATACTTCCACACTTATTTTAGACCATAGTTAGATGACTACTTTTTGGTAAGTGCTGAACAACAAAGATGGTACAACTTTTTCGTGAACATATTTTGTTGTATTTTTGCTTTATTTGAAAGTAGTGTGTTGCGTCCGAGTGGCTTTTCATCGCAATCAAAAATTACCAATTTTTTCTGTTGTAATATTTACTCATGTAACTTTTAAGGGTATTTATAGTAAAAAAAAAATTTTCTTTAAACCTTCCATCACATTATAGAAACCCTTAAGTTTGAGTTGATATTTAAAAAAAATTTAACTTAGTAGTGAAGATAATTATTTTGTGTATTGCCAGTTGTAATAATTCTGTGTTCATTTTTATCCTATAGAAAGATCGTGGAATTGGAAGAAGAATTACGTGTTGTTGGCAACAACTTGAAATCCCTCGAGGTTTCTGAAGAAAAGGTACACGTATACAATTCAGTTAAATTAGTTACATTCATTTTTACGAACAATAAGACGTTTACAAAACAATATTACAAAACAATATTCATTAGTTTTCCTATATTATCTATCAACATAATATGTTATAGATAATCCAATAATTGACATTTATTTTTTTTAAAACCTTACATTATTGATTTAGAATATTTTTTATAAATCAATATCTGTTGACCAAAGGTTTACATTATTGATTCAGACTATTTTATAAATCAATATGTGTTGACCAAAGATTAGAAAAAATAACTATTTAGCGAGACTCTACGAAATGGGGAATATTATAGGTAGATGTGTTAAACAGTTAATAAACTGACGAGACATTTCAGAAATCCATAAATCCTTATATAGTATTTAAAGATATCCTATTGTATAAAAAATTTCTAAATTTCTAACTAATGGTTTTGGACAGGCAAATCAACGTGAAGAAGAATATAAGAACCAAATTAAGACTTTGACCAACCGTTTGAAGGAGGTATTTTATAAAAAAAAAAAAAACAATTCACAGGCTGCGTTTGTTTGCATTTTAGCCTGCTTAAGAAAATTAAAAAAAAAATACCACCAAGGCTTATAACGTTACTTACACCACTCGTATACCGTTTTTATATAATAACTAATAATAAAACTTGTGATTTTGATGTGACACCTTTCCCACAAAACTTACTAAATACACCCCCACTATACATATAAAATCACCGACAAAACCAAATTTAACAATATATTATCTTAACGTGTGTTATAATACTTTTGTCTAACTTGATTTTGTTTTTTTTTTTTTGCAAATTGGTTTGTACACGCTTAACTCACAAACACGGCGCACGTTTATATACTTAAAAATAAATATAGGCCACACAAAGGGAAGAAACGTTTGAGGAACAAGTAAAAGGTCTCGGAGCACAGCTCAAAGAGGTATAAGCTCAATGCATATTTAATACACTTCATAATTATTATATAATTTATAATGTTCATTCTACATTTTTCTCGTATATTTATCATTTAATAATTATCTATGTGTGAATAATTATAAAATAATTATCTATATTCTCTACTCGTCGGTCGCAGATTGCCGTAACTCAATTTTTGACTTAATATTGAAGCTAATCTGAGTACCACACAGAACATAATATTTTCTTTATCACGACTGTTCGTGTATATTATGTGATTACGGTAACATGAAAACAAAGTTTGATCGTTATTCTGAAGTTTTCGTGCTGATTTCACGTGAACGATGTGTCGATGTATTCCATTGTATATACGATGGACTCGTATTAAGTATAATAATTATTTGTTAATAACGCACATCTCGATGCTTTCAACGAGTTCACAGTTTTCGCACGATTTCCGCACACGCCGCCATCAATCGTCATATACATATTATAATATTAATAATAATTTTAAATCTGAAGTTTTCGTTTGCAGTTCATAACACCGTGTTTCGTTAACAATATCACTGCCATAATATAAGATCGTTTTATTTAAATTAATTTGATTTCTAATTTATTATACCGCATGGTTTTTCTTCTATGTGTATAGTGTGCACGGAGTGTATCCATATCACGAGAATTTGATATTTTTAATGTAATTTGTATATAATTGTAAAACCGTCATATCCTCGGAATAATACACTCTGTGTACACTTATAATATTATACTTGTTGTGTTTATTTGTTAAAAACAAAAAAAATACAAAACTGTAAATATTTAACAGACATTAATCGACACTCGATTTTTTTTTTCCACTTATAGGCTGAGGCACGCGCTGAATTCGCTGAGAGATCAGTGCAGAAATTGCAGAAGGAAGTCGACAGGCTCGAAGGTGAGTTTTATGTTTCCCTCGTACACTGGTTATATATTTTCAAAAATACTATTATATCGGTTTACAGTCTTGGGATCGATAGTTTATTATAATAATATATATACAAAGAAGACCAGCAATATCTAAACGCATAGTGTGTCGCGTAATAAAATATTATGGTACCTACCTAATATCCCGTGTGGCTAATTATAGGCACTGTTTTACGCGGGAGTATTAATATTTTTCCGCGGATCTCATTCATGTCTTATGCATGACAATATAACATACAGGGTCTTCTGAATTTCGATATAAAAAACTGGTGGGGATTCTCTGTATACGATAATGAGATTCCTCGGTCCCCGCCAATTTGATGTGCATGCATTATAGTGCACTATGCATCATACTGTACAAGATGTCTAGTCTTGACTAGTTAGACTGTATAGTCCACAAAATATCTGCAGCATGATCTAAGACCGTTGAAGTTTCAATGTCACAACGGGGAAGGCGCATGGTAAACAATCGAGAACTATACCTACAAAAATATAAATAAATAAAATGTGTTTTTATCGTGTTTGAGAGTGTTTTCTAATATTGCGCTAAGTGTTTCTAATCAAATAACGCAGATTAATCGATACACTTTTGTGTCAATATTACATAATTATTATAGTAATAATAATACGATGATGGTCTGCACTCTGCTCGTGCGAATGTTTATAACATTAATAATAATCCTAAATAGAGTATCGTTGCGATGTACCCAACGAACTCGCAGACACACATCATCATCATCCTCGGTGGCGCCGAACATGACGTCTAATATTGTCTCAAGTGGTGGTGTAAATGTTATATACAGCTACACTACAATGTGTAATAATATGTGTACCCCGTTTACGGATAAACGTGTACATATTTGCACGTACTTGTGTGGTGTACTTACATTTTACCTAAAATTTGATTTTCTTATTTAGAGTGGGGGTGTGGTGAGGGGTAAAATTCTCAAATGTCCTAGCTATTTGAATGTACACTTCGGCGCCATCGGATTTGTCATCCTTGATTCTGTATTGAACATCATAATAATATAATATTTAACTTGTCTGATTTTTCGGCACTTAGAGTTTTATTATTTGTTTTTTATTAAACATTATCTTCAGTAGTCTAGTGACTTGTATTTAGATATTGTTTTGGTTTTTATTTTTTTATTTTCACTTGTTTGTGCATGTTAGCTAAATGTTTTGTTTTCATGTGTGACGCGCGTTTGTGTTTTGCTGTGGACCTGACGCAACACAGACGACTTAACTGGCGAAAAGGAAAAGAACAAACATCTGCAAGAGGAAATGGAGGCCACCCTGCACGACATTCAAAACATGTAAAATAACATACCGTCCCGCGTTTTCCTTCCCCGTCCCTTCTTAGCAAATTTCCTACTCCTTATTAAAAATTATCTAATATTATTATTTAATTTTTTAAACAATTTTTTTTATACTTTTACACTCGTTATATTTATGTTTTGTTTAACATTTCCGCACTCCATACTAACTTCGTTATTGCACAGGTTTGACTATACACATTTTAATAATAATTAAATTTACTTATATTTTATATTGTAATTTATAACTTAATTATTTTCTTTCTTCTTCTTCTTCTTCTTCTTCTTCTTCTTCTTCTAACCTATCACTATACGTATAACGTATATACTACTACTTACTAACCTTATGAACGACTTTATTATTATATACTACTAAGTACTAACGCTCATAATATTCAAATGTTTATATTTATGCATCGTGTTGACGAATACTACGCTCGAATAAAATAGGTTGGTCTTTCGCTGAGGATTTTAATATCAATTTTATGGCACAGATAGCACGGGGGGGGGGGGGTAGACGTAGGTTCATTTCGAATCGCAAAAAAACATTTTCATCGTGTGCGACCGTTATTGAATATTCGAAGGCGATAAATGCACTAATATAATGTCCGTACTTCTTATAATAATTCGAGTACGATATTACCGCACATCGTGAATCCTTAAAACAATAGGAACGTATTCAATTCCGAACATGTTGTTCTCTATAGTCTATAACAATACACCTTGACGTTAACTAACTAGTACAGTCTCAATTACAGTGTATGATATATAGGCAGGTCGATGAGTGTAGGACTGCACGTAATGTACATTTTACGATGAACAAAATGAATCATAATATGCACACATCGTGCGTAACGCCTACCTATCTATAAGAAATGTATCCATACAGTTTAAAATAATACAATAAAATTCGATTCTTTTGTTCGTTTTTCAACATTTTAAATTATTAATAGGTATAATCATAAGGTCATAGTTAATGTATAGGTAATTATTTTAATGTAGACTTCGTAGATTATAGACACTGAAGTAATAATTATTAAAATATGTTTATACATATTATTTTGTATTTGGTTTTGGGTAAAATTTGATTTTTGTTTTAATAGTGACTTCTTAGATACTGTCGTTGTTAAACCTTCTAATATTTCTACGTTATAATTTCCTTACCAAACACAAATCTATATAACGACTAATGAACGTCTAATAAGCGTGTAAGATAGTTGACGGATTAACACGATCGATTTTCTTTCACGTGACCCTTGCCCTTAGAAACCATTAACACTATAATAATATTAATGAATTATTATATATGTATATTATTAATTTTTTCATTCTTATACGGTAGTTGTATTGTTATACTAAAAACCTGCTAACATCCTCTATATATTTGCGAAACAAATTCTATTCGGCTTTGTCCGTCCTCTTATTTTCTAAATATTTACGGTTATGTGATTGGGCTCTAAGTATATATATATATATATATATCTACACTTCTGCCGAGACACTGTCCTGTCCAAAAATTTCTTTTCACAAACCCGAGTCGCGTCCGAACGTTTTTACTGACCCGGTGGTAACCGATTTGCTTTTCAGATGAGTTGGTCGCCGAAAAGGAGAGATTCAGAGACATTGGCGACAGCTTGGACCTTGCGTTTGTCGACTTGTATGGCATCTAAACACAAAAAAAACACACACACACACAAACACACAACACACACAGACCTCCTCCTTTCCCGACACACACGATACCACTAAATTTTATCCATTTTCGTCGTCTCTGTCTCCGACCACACTCCTGCAGCTCTACCGATTACCACACACTACATTCCCTTTATATACAAAACACAAAACGAAACAATAAAATATAATTTTAATAATACAGTGCTACTAACACCGTGTCCACGCGTTAAACCTTTCGACACAAAACTTGTAACTTTAGTGTATTTTAGTGAATTACCTAAATTTTATTTTAATTTATTTAATTTTTTTTTTTTTTTTGTTTTGCAATGTATTGTATTTCATAGCTTACTGATTTTACGATATTATTTCGGCTTTGTTTTTACGCTTGTAGAAAATTGTACGGTGTGACCTTTGACTACCCCGAAGTGAATAATATAAAAAAAATTGTAACTATTATTTCTATGATAGGTACTTTTTTTCTCCACCTGAGAGAAATCATATAATGTCTATTGACACTTTGTACCGACCGTGGCGTCACGTGTACCTAAAATGTTTTTTTTGTTCTTCGGAAAACACGTCTGTTGAATATAATTAATTTTTATCCAAACGTTATTATTATTTATATATACGCTTAGTTTTTATTTATATAACATTAAAAAAAAACCATAACCTAACTTTTGTCTAACTGTATATGTCTATTAAAAAAAAAAAAATGTATTTTTTGTGATTTATATAGAGCTTTGTATTGTTTTCGTTGTTAGTCAAATAACCTACGATAAAAATATAATTGAATAAAACACAAATTCTGATATATAATCATCTCGGTATATAAATAATATATATATTACCTACGTCTTATTTGTATTGTACAGACGATTTATTTCATTAACACTTAGATCGTAATCACTGATAACTTATTTTACGAATTATTATTTATTATTATTAAATTTTTTTTTTACATATATTTATTGTCATCCCAAGTGCTATATGTTTTACCAATAAAACAATGTAAAAGAAAAAAATATATTAAAGCGATTTTGGAAAAAAAAAATGATTGCTTTGAACATTTCCGTTTTTGTTTTATTTTGCAGACGAGTTGGTACACGAGAAAGAGAAATACAAATACATTTGTGACGATCTTGACCAAACGTTCTCTGAACTTGTTGACTAACGCGTTCAGTATAACGGTGGCCATGATATTGATACGATATCGATGACTTAAATTATATTTATTATTTGTTGTGTTTTGCAATATTTTATCATCAGCATGTTGATTTGTATTCAGCCCTTTTATTATCGAATTATTAATGACTTTTTTTATAGGTATCAGAGAATTGCATCAAGTTTTTATTTTTTTTTTGTCCATGTAAATATTATAAATGTTAATTAATGCTAATACTGTTTGTTACCTCGAGCAACTGATGACGGGTTTTCTTGTTCCGAACCCCCAGAGATTATATATTATAATATGATATACATAATAATTATACAGACACCCGTACCTACACACAGTCGAATGCGTTTTTGATTTAAATTTTAGTTCACTGCACACTTATTATTATTGTTTTGCGTTTGATTTTGTATACGCATATCACCGCCGTCGTGCATGCCTCGTATCATCTGCCTACATCCTCGTCCTCGCAATCCTTTCCGATAAATACCTACAATTTACCTATAGTGTACCTGGGCCATTATATTATTGTTATGGTGTCCGCCGCGGCCACACACGATCCTCGTCGACGCCGTCAGCAGTATTATTATTATCATTATTATTATTATTATTATTATTATTATTATTATTATTGGTGAATACGACGCGTCGAGAAACTGAGTTGCAGGCGTGAAATCGTTTGGTTCGCATTCTAATGTTCTTGTTGAACTACGATTGACAGGTTTAGGGTCGAATAGTCTTTAGACGGTATAGTCTTAAGCTCGACCTACATGGATGTGTCCTATCCCGGTACGACTTACTTGCGTTGGTGGTATAAATTCAAACGTTTCAATTAATGAGATTGCACGCGATCGAGAAACTGAAATCAATCACTTGCAACAGAGGCGTTTGTGTGACATTTTGAGCCTCGCTTTATAAAAAAAAGTATATTTTCTGAGGCCTAGCCTGAAACAAATTTGCCCCAGGCCTCGATCCACCTAAAGGCCGGCTAACAATTTGGGTAATATAATGGCACGTTAGTTGAGATCTCTGCTATATGGAGACGTTTACCTACCCTGCACTATACCTACTATTAATCATTTTAATCTATATACTATATTTAGCTAATAAATTATATTATTACAAGTACCTAGGAATACATTTTTTTTTGTACTAATGCATTTTAGGCGAACCCGCCTCTTCAATTTTTTCGTGGACTAGAATTTCGGTTTAAAAGCACGTAGGTACCACCTCCTATTATATTATAGTCAATTACAGGTATAGGTAGGTACATCGACCTGCACGCGTAGTCCATTATATTTTTATCTGAGAAAATTGTTTGATATTATAAAAAAAAATTAGAGTTTTACCGCAAATATGCGTGGACATATTAAGACGTAGACATCAAAACTACCTATGCATATTATAATATATAATATAATCGATACACACCTCCTACGGTATTCGGAAAAAAAAGCCCCGGAAAAAAAAGCCCCGGAAAAAAAAGCCCCAGAAAAAAAATACGGTAAAAAAAGCCCCGCCATAGGAAAAAAAAGCCCCGTACGGCGTACCTACGAAATACATATCACTTTTTTTATTATAGTCGACATTTTATAATTTTAAATTTTTAAACAATATGCCTAGGTATCTATATTACGCGTTCAATTTTAAGTATTATTTAAATTTATATATATTTTATTGTGAGGTTTTTTATACATTTATTTCAGTACATGCATTATAAATTATGATTATGCATTATTTTAAATTTTAAATTAAAGAGTATAATATTATTTATCTTTGATTTTTTGTATATTTGTATTTTTAAATACAATTTTATAATTTTATTTTTGCTATGAACTACCCTAAAAAAATTTTTAATTATAAACAAACAACAAACTACAATGAATAGTGTATTTTTAATTGTGATATAATTAGTTATTATTATTATTATTATTATTTTTATTAGTGTCGTGTCGAGTCAATGTGTCATATACTAGATGTCATTTTTTTTATAGTTACCTTTTAAGAAAATAAATGTATTACCTTGTATAATAAATTAGATGCATAATAATATAATAAAATAATTTACTAGTATATTATTTTATAATATTATATTTATGATTATGGATATTATGATTATAATTAATTATATAAATCATAATAAAAAAGAATAATGTATTTAGTTGGTATTGGGCTTTTTTTTCCTATGACGGTGCTTTTTTTTCCGATGAATGTTGTTAGGGGCTTTTTTTTCCGGGGCTTTTTTTTCCGGGGCTTTTTTTTCCTAGATTCCCTCCTACACGGGCGGAAAAAAAACCCATTAATAACTTCCGAGCACGAAATCGTGTGTCGCCGTACTCGCGTAAAACCGCTACAAAAATTGAAGCAAATAGGTATGTTAGCACAGATATGTTGGCAAGAACTAAGAAGATGACTATATAGGAGTATGATACATCAATGACGGTTTATAATAATTGTAATTCCGGGTCAACTCGCCAATTTATAAATTATAATATGAATTCTGTAGGTAACCTACATAAACTACGAGCAAAAACAATAATGAAATATTTTCTGAAAATGTTTCCTACCAATTATTATTGGTTATAAAATATTCATTACCTAGCCATTACATTTTATTAAATCGTTCATAATAATATTATAGGTAGGTGTCTATCTGATATTTATGCAACATTTTTTTTATAATCGTAGGTGGTTAGCCGGGGTACACGTAAAAATAGATTATTTTACTGGGCACTTTTTTTTTTTACTGTTTTACGGTGAGTAGGTAACGACTTGACTTTCGGTCACCCTTTAAAAATAAACAAATTATTAACCATATAGTCTGTATAAGTACACCCCGTACCCAACTCTTCAACTATAATATGACAGCGTATACAAATACCCATTGAAATGATATGTAAGACGTAAGTGCCTATAGGGTAGAAAATAAACCCATCAGTCAACTCCAATTTGTGTGGCTTGTGACGTAAATGTGTCTGAATTTAGGTCACACGAACTAGGTTTTCTTATCGAACCGCAGTCTCATAAATTATTCCGGTAACTATGGATACGGACACACTGCTGCAGTTTTACATATTTTCTGATGCACATTTATATAGGTAATGTTTAGCAGTTCATTTTAGGATGTTTTGCCTAGTGTATAACTCTACTAGTGTATGACGACTGTATAGTCACAATTTAGATTAAAAATCGTACCACAGAATAAATTTAATTTCACAGTGTTTATTATTGACTATATAGTCTTATATTATAGTGACTGATTAATGGGCATCGGAAGCGAGAGAGACCTAAAATAAAAAAATGTCGACTTGATGAGCTCGAAGCTTTCTTGAAAATTGGGAAGGAATACCTATGCCTAAAATCGGCACTCGCACAAGCCATAACTATATATAGTAAAAAATAAATTACGAAGGTATAAATAACATTTAAAATATTATATTTACTTAATCCTAATTCAATCTGTACGGGTAGTTATGTTGTAGATTGTAGACGAATAGACATCATAGACATATCCCATATAAACCAATGGAGAGAGAAATCCCCAGACGGGTTTTGTTAAGTGAGCAAAGTGAGGTTTTGTGGCCGTTAAGTGCCAAAACATGTTTTTTCTCTCTCACATTATATGCTCATTTGTTGTGTTTTCTCTCTAAGTTATGTCGTTTGGATTGATCAAGTGCAGGGCGGTGTGGGGAGCTCCGTCCATAGCCCATTAGACATTAGTTTATGGGTTTATGATATAGACATACCTAATAAGTAACTATATATATCACGTGGCATCGTGGATAGGCTGCGATCACTTGAAAATGATGTGGACCCCAATGCTTAACGCCAGTTCGTGTAATATATCCATATATAGGTGTACTTACCATACGATATATTCTACCTACTTATATGGACACGATTGGTGTCTATGTAATAAGTATGAGCATAGCGACAGAGTAGGTAACTATTATGCTTAATGACACTGTCACTGCCTATCGGTGTTGACGGATCTGAGTATGGCAACTGTTGCATGTGCTATATTATAATGTTGGGCAATTCACTTTCACAGCTGATACGGGTATTATAGCCGTACATGGACTTGGCGAAATCAACTGTTATCCATAGTTTATATTGTAAATAATCTATATATATAAAAATGAATGTATGTCAGTGTGTGTGTCTGTGTGTCCATGTTACCATGGTTACCAAGGTTGCCATGGTTACTAAGGTTACCAAGATTTCATATCAATCTATATATATAAAAATGAATGTATGTCAGTGTGTGTGTGTGTGTGTGTGTGTGTCCATATTACCATGGCAACCATATCTGTATATAAAAAACAGTAAGCTGATTGACTGCTATCAACGCACAGCTCAAACCATTGGACGGATCTGGCTGAAATTTGGCATACAGATAGCTATTATAATATAGACGTGCGCTAAGAAAGGATTTGCCAAAATTCGCATTTTAAATAGGTGCTGAAACAGGGACATTGAGATTCACGATAGAAATTGGAAATTTTATTTTTATTTATTTATAGTTGCCATTGGTTACAGTAATACAGTCTACATTAGAAATTAGCATTTATTTATTGGTTGCCATTGGTTATTCGGGCAGATCAGGTACAAGCTTGCATCAAATCGAATTATTGAACAATGCTTACCAGGGTGGCAGAGTTGCACTTACCGCAGAAAATTACACCCAAAAGGAGTTCAACAATCATAATTTTTTTAAGAGTTGCGATTTTTTACGAGCAACCAAATTTATTATATTAATCCACAGTATTACATCAAAATAAACTTGGTATAACTTTGATACTTTAGAGTTAAATCATACACTTCCGTACAAACAGCACGGGGTCCGCGATCTACCGCAGGTAGATTGCCTACCTGATAATGTACTGCTGCGATTCAGAATTTTTATTCAGGGCAACGGGAAAGATAAGATAAATTTTGAACACCTTACACCGAATATTGAATGATGAATTGAACAAAGTTTGAGTAGGTAGTATTGAGTTGATCCATTTAACGGGCGACGAAGTGCACGGGATCACGTGCGGGTACGGCTATATATATATATATATATTATATATATGTCTAGGGCGTTTTACGACAAATGTATCATTATTCGGGGTGGCTGAATTGCACTTACTGTTGCGAGTTACATCCAAAAAGATTTAAACAATCACAAATTTTTAAGGGCAACGAAGTGCACGGGATCAGCTAGTCAAAAATAAAATTTGATTTAATGATAAATTAATTTGAAAAAAAAAATGAATAGGTTACCTACCTACCAAAAACTATTAGGTCTATATTCGTTCGATTGTTTCAAATGATGATTTAAACTGTCGATACATTTTCAAAAATGTTTATATTATAATATATAGTTTAACCTAGGTGGTACCTCTGCAAAAAATAGGTAGGTCAAAAAAATATAGGTACCTAACTATATACGCATTACAAATTACAAACAGATAATTTAGGTATGATATATAGTGAACTGTGAAGGATCCGTAGACTGTAATATTATGACTGTAGGTATATCGTATATTGTTTATATTTATGACGACAAAACCATTAATAAGTTAATGAGTTCAGGTACCAACTTAGGTCTCAGATGGAGTGGTTGTACCTATGTACGGTTAATATAATAATATTTGATATACCTAACTAGATATATATATATATCTGTATACATTATCTACCGATAGTCAATATCATTATATATAAGTCGTAGCCCGTAGGTTATGTTTATACTTTATAGAAGGAACTAATAAAATCGTCACATTTAAAATGTTTAATATATAAACGTGACATTGAGTAGGCACCTAATTAAATGAATAAAAATTTGAAATCCATATTGTATTAAAAAATACCCATGAACATAAATCGAAATTAAAAATGGTAATTTCTGACTTCTGAGTTAAATAAAATATGTATGTAATGGACGTGCCTACCTACTGTACCTATATAAGGATAATAATCCAACGTTATAGGTTTTTAAGATATCACGAGACTATATAATGATTTTAAAATTATAAAAACAGTGGAGTAGCCAAGATTTATCAGGGGGGGGGGAGCAATAAAAAATATTAACAATATTATACTTGTCTATAGAGTATGGACAGAACTGATGGACGCCACTGATCATAATTATTATAAATGAATTATAATTTTATGATTTGTAAAAATGTTCAGAATAAAAAAGTACTTGACTAAATATCTATTACATTTAAATTTGTATTTTATAAAAGCCATTACTAAGGACTATTATCCAAAATATATACATAATATTATGATCGAACGTGTCCTAACTGACTGATCAACGAAGTCACGTAAAGTCTAAACTATGATATATAATATATATATGATACCTACTATACTACTATAGTATACTAAGTGGGTAGTTAAAGACTTTAAATTGTCATTGTAATTTCGTACCAAAATTAAAGGGCTGACTAAGGACTTTTCAAAATTTGTATTTTAAAGAGCTTCGCTCAGTGCTCACACAAGAATTTTGAGATTCACGATATAAATTAAACATGTTTTGTTGTTAATAAATTGGTTGCAATTGGTATATTAGGTAGTCGGGCGTGTATCAAATCTTCGCGATTATATACTTGAATAAACAGAGTATACCTGAGTATCTTTGAACAAATATGAGACAGTGTTTATTTATAAAATTCTTCTTCTATATAATGTTTGCTGCCTAGAATTGAGAATTGTAATATATAGGTAGACTCAAAACTACTCGTCTACTCGACCGATTTTTCCGTTAACTATTCAGATAATCAGATTGTTCTCGGAAATAGCAGAAAAGCTTAGATAGTACCTATAGTTTGAACCAAGTTAAAAAATATAACCAAAGCTATAATATCCGAACTAATATAGATTATAGGTCCACTAAAGCCAAAAACCTCCCATATAACGAAGTATTTTTTTTTATTAATTGTTCATTTTTGACCAGGTGAAGTTGCGGGTTGCACAGCTAGTATACTCTACATCCATGTGTATGGTGGATAGGTAGGTACTAGATATATTAGTGATTAATTCGTAGCCAGGTAAGAACACAAAGTTGAATAGGTAGTTTAAAAATTTATCGTTGCACGAGAAACTCGTACACATTTTGAATTGGACGCCTCAACGTTTTCAAAACGATTATCCGACTAACAATTATTATTTGTAGTAAAATCGATGGTAGATACACTGCACGCACGTCATTGTCGAATAAGTAGGTAGGTAGGTACCTATAGGTAATTAAATCATAGTCATAAAAAAACCCAATTATTTGAGAATATTATTTGGTCTCAAGGTCTTTAAGACTTGACATTTTAAGCGAAGGTAGCTATTCATATACCTTAAAAATCACATTTTTAATGAATGCATAATTAAATGATAAAAGTCTCTCCCCCCTGTATTGCTAGATATTAAGCTCGGTGAATCATTCTGTTAAGGTTAGATATTTTGTTCATAAATTTATGGATTTTTCGATAAATTTTAAATTATATCACAATTGCCTATATTCATAATAAATTAGTGGACACTGGACATGTACGTTGCTAGTTGTTTTTTTTTTATTGGTAGGGGTAAAAAATCATTAGTATTCATTCCTAAATACTAATGATAGTTATATACCAAACTAAAATTATTTATGTAGGTACCTTCGATGGAAAATATAAAAGGTTGTGGATCGGCAGACACAACTAAAGATATGAAACTTAAGGAATGCAGTTGTACCCCGATCTACATTTTTAGTTATTTTTTCAGGTACAAAACATAATTTTACAAACAAAATCTTTCACGAGCTCAGATTGTTTAAATTTTAAGCATATTAATTTTTTTAATTTAGATAAGGTATTAAGGTAACCCACATGACAAATATGGTGTACAATTTTTTTTTTTTATTTGACATTACCTAAAGGACACCATGAATGATTGACGTAGGCTGAGGTGATAATTACCATTACCTTCCAAAAATGTTTTTTTTTTTTAATATAATAGTTTATTAAAATTAATAGTATTCGAGCGGGTACCAACCTAGGTGCGGATAGGTTAAAATATTATAGCCACAAATAAAATTGAAGTAACACATTAATTTATAGGTGAACGATGATTCAAACGTGTAACAATATACCTTTTTTTTGTGTGTTGCGATTCGCAGCGCGACTGGTGGGGGGGAGGCACTTTGTCCTCGCGGGTCGTCCACCCTCCCAAATATATATATATATATATATAATACATTTATAACAAAAAATAGTAAAGCTATTTAAAAACCCGTTCATAGGAAATAATATATTCCAAGTTGGACCGGCTTGATGGATATCGGGGCTATGTACGAAATGTTTTTGAAGAGGTATGTAGTGGGTGACTGGTGTAACTTTGAGGTCCCATTTTAAGCACATGGATAAATCTTAATCATTAGATAAATACATAAACTAAGGAGCTAACAAGCCGGTCCTAACCTATTAGAACTAGCGTTTTAAAATTTCACGAAATTAAAAGAATTCAATGTTTCATGTTTTTGTGAAATATTTCAGACTTCAAACACTAATTGCAATTGACCAATACAATATAATACAAGGGGGATTAGTATGCTTGGTGAATCAACATGTATAGACATCAGTATTGTACAAATACTAACAAATGCTGATGTGAATAACTGATTTTTTTGTGACAACAGCTATCATTAACATGCATGCAACTAACAGTTAATTTATTTATTTTAGAAAAACTTGACGCTGCCAAGCAAGAGTATCGAGTTATTGCTGACCAAATTGGCCAGTCATATGATTTAGCAGCATATTAATCAAATACAAGCATAACGCTTAATAATCTTTAATATTTGTATTTTTTTATTTTTAGTCAAGTATCAGTACTGTCGTATTGAAAAATACAACAAATAGCTTTCATACAAATCCTCACTTGTTTTGTGATTTTTATAATATTTTAATAACAATGCTTTCGAGTTAATATTATAATATTGCATATAAATAAAACAAATTTTTAACATAAGGATCACCATGTTTTTTTTTTATATTTTGCTACAAATATTATATGATTACTTAAAATAATGTTATTTATCTTGTAAACGTGTTTATATTAAATAATTAAATTTCATGTGTTAACATTTACCAATACTCTGGTTTGTTATAATTTTAACATAAACAATAGAATAATATGTTCTGTACGCTAAATGTAAATATTTGAAGATAAAAAACAAAATATTATAACTAAAATTAAAATACAATAGCTTATGTATATTACGTTTTTCAATATAAAAACAATATAATATCTTTTGCACATTAGTTAATATATATACAATTGTGCAGAGTATAACATTTATGCCTATTCAAACAATCAAAGATTTTGAAATTATATGATATAGCTTTTTGATTATACATTTTATTTTTTAATAAAAATATTAATTCAACAAACAAATTGAGTAATTTATTGAAATACATTGTTAAATACCATATTATATTAAATTGTAGTAAAAAATATTGTTTAAATTCACAAATTTCTTACATATAATACTGACGCAATATAAATTTAAGTAACAAACTATACATACAAGAAGGTAAATTGAAAAAAAAATTAAACAGTTAATTGATTAAAAAGTTTTAAAACATGGTTAAAAAATGATTGGAAGTTTGTTGTTTATAGTTCGCGTTAGTTTGGTAACTGTGCGTGTATTGGGCGTCATTCTTGGTGTTGTGCGTAATGGCGTTTTAGGTGTGGTTGGTATTGGAATTTGAGATCCTTTAACAGGGGTCTTCATTAATGGTTTCCTGGGTGTAGTAAATGTTGCATTTGGTTCCCTCAATACACTTTTAGTAGTTGGACTTGTAAACAACCTATGTTTTTTGGATTCAAGATGTTCCTAAAATATTTAAAATAATTAGTAAATAGTTAACATTATTATTTATTAAGCATAGAAAGCAATCTTGCTATGGATAACTATGGAATACAACATATTTTCATAATAACATGCAATTAGAGTCAAACGGCTGAGAATTGTCAATTTTTAATTTATATTATGTAATATACATGATACAAAGACAATTATAAAAGCATAATGAATCAATTTTTTACAAAATTGTTCATAAAAAAATAATAACAACATAATATGCATAAAAATTTATTTTATGTAAACATTACATTATATTTTTTTTAAACTAATTTAACATTTAAATAAAAAATAACAAGAATCATTTAATTTTATTATTAAACTAAAATCTATAATTAAATATCAGACGTAACTGTAAAACTGTTGTGAATTAGTAAAATTCTAAGATTTAAATAAAAAATTATATTCATAATATATTAATTTTAGATTAGTACTGCTATTATTGTAGTTGAGTACATTTTCTGAGGTTATATCTTTTTGTTAGTTATGGCTTTATGAGTTATTGGTCAATCAATAAGAATTAGATAATTCTATCATTCATAAAACATTATAAAAACAGTTTTAAGAATTCTTCTGAGAAAATTCAAATATAATAAAAATTAACATTAAGAATATAAAATTTTTTTTTTTAGTAACAATTTTGTAGTTTTTGCTGATATGAAATAAAGCGATAGAAATTATATTCACACACAAAGAAATTATTACGTGTGGAACGCATTATCTCACTGAATTCAAACCTGGAAGGTTGCATAAGATTCAACAGATCCATTTTCATCATTGGATCCATGGAAGGTTGGATGTTGTCTTGTTGTAGTTAGATTTACTTCATTTAGTTTGGTAGAGTTTAATGGAACTAACGTAGCTACATTAGTATTATGAAAATTAAACAATTGTCTTCTTGGAGTAACCTAAAAATGAATAAACAAATACAATTTAGTGTCATTGTTAGTGAGTAGTATATAACAATTAATTGTACTTACACTAGGTAGAACCTCGTTTATTTGACATAGCTAAGACAATTATGCGACTCAGTATAAAACATGTTTGAAATTATCAATATAAAACATGTTTGAAATTATCATTATTATTAATAAATAATTGATTCACTGCACTTTTTATTTCAAAAATTAAAAACAAACATTAATAGACACCCGTTATTATATTATTATAGTCAGATAAACGAGGTCTAACTATATACTAAAGAATAATATGATTGTCTTTAATAGTTATAGATAGTATATGATCAAGGTAAATATAAAATTAAATTTAAGTTTTAATTCAGAGAGAATTAATTTGAATAAAAGATTTCTATATACAATTAATTGTTTGAGCATTATTTTGTTACCACAGCTTTATGGTCCATGCCGATTTTACGGACCTTAGAAGCTTGGTTGCTTGATGTACCGACTATCTTTCTTTTACTGCGAGTGGCTGTTAGCGGCGTTTGAGGCTGTTTTGTTCCACTTTGTATCTTGGACTAAACAAATTATATAATTCTTGTATTATTATAATTCTTTTGCAAAAAAATATTATAGATACCTTTGTTTGTTGTAAAATTTTCTTATTGCTTTTCAATTCATCCCACTGCCTTTCAATAAAATCAAATAATCTTTCATCTCTATAGTAGAATATTTTATTTTCTCTTTGTTCATATGATTGCAATTGGTTCTTTAGTTCTCTTTCTACTTTTGGTAGTTCCTATAGAACATGATTATGTTTTATTAAATACGTCTTAAAAGAGCTTTTTGCCAATAGTAAAATAGTATGACTGTTGAGTGTTGATAAAAAAATATATGTTAATTTAAATAAAATTTACTTTTTGTATAATTTTTCTTTCCTTTTCTTCTTTAAGTAATTGGCCACCTCTGTTTTGCCAAAGTCTTGCTGGATCATTAGCTTGTTCTTGCATCATAATCATCTTATTCCATAAATGTTCTCTTTCTTCAAACAAATGATAAATAGAACTAAAAACAAACAATAATAATTTAAAATTTAAACGTAGGCAGAATAATTATGATTCACATTAAAGGCAATTGCTCAGTTTTTTTATATACTCTTACATGTTATCATTATAGAATTTTTTAGCATTATCAACTTCGATGTCTAATAAGTCCATTACATCTTCATTATACTCAGTGCTATAATATACAGGACACTGTTTTCTTTGACGTTCACCAAAATGACATCTATCCCATAAGTCATTTAATTCACTACGTAACTTTTCAATAAATTGTTTGATGTTTTCTTTTTTTAAGGTCTCACATCTTTCAACTTCTAATTTTAGCTAAAAAAAAAAATATAGTTACTTTAAATCAAGTTGTAATAGAAAGTTAATAAAAAAATATTAAAAACTCTATATAGGTACCTCTTGTATAACTGATTTTCCAAATCCTTTTTTTGTACTCACAAAATGTTCTCTATAAGTAACATCAATTTGTAAGCGATCCCACAATGAATTTAATTTTGTTCTTAATTCCATGGCCATACATTTTTGATTTTCTGTTTGATTTTCCAAGCGTTTTATCAATTTCTGTTTATAATAAATAAAAATAGTTAATAAAACATCTTACAATTAAAATTTTAGTCTTACTTGAAGTTCATCCAAGTTAGATTTTGACAGCTGAAACTCGTTTGGATCCCCCAACACCATTTTATCAAATTGTAAAATTGGTATTTCTCCTAGATCTGCCAGTAACGATTCAACTTTTGATTTTTGTTCAGCAAATGTAGATCTACGTTTAATCTAAATATTCAATCATTGGTGAATCATTAAATGAAATATTGTTCAGACATTAAAAATATAATATAATAATGACAGTACTTGAGTATTTGTTAAATCTATAAGATGACTTTTGATGTTTTCCAGCAGTGTTGCAGAAGGCATATCTTTAATGCCCGAGTATTTAGGTTTTTCATTAAGTAATTGACAAATTTGTTTTTCCTATTAAAAGTAAACAAATACACATTACAAATATATTACAAATATAAAGTAAGGGCTAGTAAGTCTTAAAATTACTTCTTCTTGAAGTCTATTAAGTTCTAACATGCGTTGTTCTTTTATTTTTCTACATTCTTGTAAAGACTTATCAATATTTATTTGAACATCAATCAATGGAGTGGCATCATTGTGGTCATCAATTGAAATATGCATTTGTAGTTCCTAAATTAGTAAGTAATTTATTAGTAACACGTCCGTTTTCTATACTTGACTATGGTCACACTATATTGTCTATATAAGTAAATATGGTTTCCTGACATTTCTAATATAGTTTATACAACTAACCTTTTCTAAAAGTTCCTTTTCAACTAACAATTCCTCAATATCTTTTATAATATTATTCTTGTCTCTGTCAGATTCCATAACAACTTCATCCAAAAATGACTGAACATTGAAACAATAAAATAAAATAAAATAAATGTAATTTAATTGTATTAATAATACTTACAGTTATATGAGCTTTAAAATGTTCATGAAATTGGTTTATGCCGTTTTTCTTTTCATCTGAATCAGTTCCATATATAACATCTAGATTGCGTTGTACTTTTAGGATTTCTTTTTTTGAATGTGCACAAATTTCATCCAGTATAAGTTGTATTTTATCTGCATCTGGACTATAGATCAAATATAATTTTAAAACTTGGGTGATGGTGGAATTTAAAAAAAATATTTTATCTCAATAGTTTGAAGAAAAAAAAACTAATATTTAGGTAGTTCAAATGTTAAAGATTGTATAAGTTATTATTATTTTGATAATTAGGTAGGTACCTTCAAGGAATTACAATTTTTGTGCTACTGTGAAATTAGCTTAACTAGTTAACCATACAATTTGATAATATAAGTATTTTGTGTAAGTAGTAGGAAGGAACTTAGGTGTCGTAATGATTTGTTTATTGATTAAACTAAATTGTTACTTTTTAGTCTTACATTTTTACACTTAAATTGTATATTTTATTTCTGCTATTGTTTTTTGTTTTATTTAGAAATATAAATTCACATACCTAACTAATTTAACACTATTATCAATTAAATATAATATAAACAGTTTGTTTTTACTTATTGAATAAGTTTATAAAGGTATATTTAAACTACATTACATAAAATTGTACATATTATTAGGTAGGTACTTTGTTTATGTTTTAAAAACTATACAAGTAGATAGCTAAATTTATTTTTTTAATTTAATAAAGAAAATATGTTCAATGTATTATAATATTATATAGATAACCTAAATAGTAGACGTAATTTAGCTTTCAATATGATTAATAATTTACAGGTGTAGAGAAGAATTTTATTATAAAATAGCCGAATTATTACTGTAATTAATTTATTCATCAATTTTAAATTAAAACTACCTAGTCATAATTTAAATTTAAAAACAGGGTAGTACATAACATACATTTCAATTTGATTTTCTTGAAATAAAAATAAAAATAATAAATATTAACTTATATTATCTGATAGGTATATTATTAAACTCACCCCATTGAGTAATCCATTTTGTGTAGAAAGCTCGAGCTGAAATAATGGACGATTCATAAGTAAAGTTTAATTATCAATAAACACTGTCAAACTATGACAATCATCTAATATATTACAACATATAAGGTAATTTAATAAAAAAATTGTTCATTACTTAGTTAATATGATACATTTTAAAGAGTTTAGTCATAACCATTGCTCGGAAGGAGGAAAATTAAACGGTTTGGAAAATTTGTACCTTAGTTGAATACCTGAAACACCACTTCAGTATCGAGGGTCATCTACCTACACACGAATCTCAGCCAATAGTTTATTTTTTCATACCGAATGGACTTCATTTAGAAAGTTGCTGTACTTAGACCCAGTGGCGTGGCGAACGGTAATTTCAGAGGCCTTGGCCTCTGAAATTTTTCTTAAATAGAGGGGTGGGTGGTAGCCAGTGGGTCCCCTAGTAAATTGAATATGATATTCTCAATAGGTAGTCAATAACGATCTGAAATATAACTTGTTATATTACATTAATACATTATTATGCATAAATACTTGGGATATTTGTAACTGGCCTCTGGAAAATTTTTAGTTCGCCACGCCACTGCTTAGACCTATTTAATATACATTATAATATTTATTGTAAATAATAAAGTGTAGGTATATCTATAACCATTATCTGTAATAACTTAAAAATATTATAATGAATAATGATAGGTTTATTATCCAAAGGCTCGATTGATATTATTATGATATTCTCTCTAGTATTCTCATACATTATTTTAAATTACTTAGTTTGCGTCATACCTATTGGGTTTAAGATATTATCGAAGGAGTTGATTATTATACCTGCTACCGGTGACTAGGTATCTGATGAAAATTAAATACCAAAAACTCAATAAATCTGAATATTTATGACATAATGCTAAGCAACGCTAAGGTACTTCCTACAGAATATGAAAGAGTTACCTATATATTTAACTATTTTTGTAGTCATCCATTTGGTAATGGGTAAGATCTCCGACTCCAAGTATTTTCATCGTACACAAAGGTAGTGAATTAATTACTACCTATTGAGCAAAGACATGAAATAATAGTCTGTTACCTACTGGTTTAGGTATTACGATAAAAGGACACTATGACCTTACAACAATGCAGAGAATCATCTCGCCTACAGAACGCAGAATATAATAATAGGTACCTACACAGTACACATTACGATCTGCAGGACGAAATGAAACCGTTTAAATATTAAATAAGACGTAATCCTATGAAAGACAATAATAATATGTTTGGGGAGCAAAGTTTGAAACGAAACGCCTCAGGCCGCTGGGTAAATACCAAACAGTAGTTATTAATACGCATCAGTCCGATAAGTATTACAACAATTATATGAAAAATAGAAACGCCGACATTTTACGTGTCAATTACCGTAATGTTTTGCTGGTAAAGAGGCGTCGTGGAACAAATCGTGAATCGCGACATTTGCGTCCCGTCGAAGCGCACATTTCCAGGCATTTACTCGGTCGGTTATAATATTATGTACTTACTCGTCTTTCATCGACGGCGATCCGAACATGATGGACGACATGCTGTCTATTTTCTCGACGGCGGCAAAATAAAACTCTTGGGCATCGGTGGTAGTGGTAAGTCAACCGGTTTTATATTTATTGCTGCGTGTGCGGTTGTCGTTTAAATAATAATGATAATATTATTATGTCGAACGGCCCGACAGTTGCGCTTCAAAAAACGATCAAAACAACAGAATTCAATAACCATTAACCCAACGAAAGACGATCGGCAAATGGCGATTGGCGACGCACAAAATTGAAAATACGAATTACGAATGTACGTTGGCTGATGGCTCGTTCGAATGTGTTACGTCTGTGTGTGTGTTGGTATCGGACGGTTATTTTTTGTAACGGTTTTAGTTACGCCGATCGCCGCGGACCGGTGTCGAGCGCTGCTCTGCGGTCGACGCACACGGACGCGGGTCGCGGGTGGTCGGCGGACTCGAGCACGGAGAGTGGCTACTACGCAGTACGCACGACGGACAAGTTTCAATATTATTATCACATATAATATAAATTATGGTATGCACGTCGCGGTCGCACAATGCACGACCCATAATATAGGTATGAACATGGACAAGCATAAACGCATCTCATGCGACATGCATAATATACCTGACATCATACCAAAACCAGTTTTTATTTAAATTTTATGAGCATTTACCTCGTCAAATGCCGGAGACGGCAGTGGCGCAGTGCACAAGTCACAACCGTGGTTTATGTCATGACTTTATGAGTTCCGAGTTTACGACCATGGTCATTCTGAATTTTAAATGTTCATATTTTTTACATTCAAATTTCAAATACTATATTATATTATTATTATACGATATACGTAGCCATGCAGGGCGTGTATAGTATTAGACAACTATTAGTGTTTTACACTTTTACCCTCGGTCACGGTCACGGACGGCTGTTCCGCTGTGGCCATAGGCTATAGTACTATAGTCTATAATGAGTGTAATGAGTACCTAATGACATGAAATATTAATAAAATACAAAATTATTAATACTTAGGGGCTGAAACAGATTTCCCAATTTCAATAACACCGAGATATCGTGAATCGTGATCATTCAGATCATTGTCGAACTTTTATACGATTGCTGCCTATAGTTAATCTCTAAAATAAATCCATAACATTTTAATAATATTATAATATATTATGGTAATACCTACATATTTATGTTGGCAATACTTGACTTAGTACAGTGGCTTGCGGTTGCTGGGCTAGGAGCCTAGGGCTCACCAAATTTAAATTAAATAATAATTGTATCTATTATAGGTAACAGTGGCGTATATACAAATTATTTTCACTATGGGCCAATTTATCAGTTATCACTAGTCAAGAATAGCACAACTAACATAGCCATAACTATACATTTTTTAGGGAGCTGGGTGGTTATAATTATGACATATACAGTACAAATAAAAACTACGCAATTTAATTATTATGTAAAATTAATTTTTTTTTAAATATTGATAGTGTCATTTATATATTTTAATTTTTAATGTTATCTTACTATGAATTTAACATCAAAGTCAATTATAAGTTATCAAAACAAGTCCTGACCATCTAACATTTCCTTGTTGATTCCTCAAAAACGATTTTAATCAACCGGCTTACTTAATCATGGTGAAAAACTGTAAACAATGTAGATATACATGCAATGCTTTAATTGAACCTGCAATTTCACTATGGGCTCTAGCCTAGGGGGCCTCCCCCCTATATACGCCACTGATAGGTAACCTATAAAGCTTAGGTATATAGGTATTAGCATTGATTATAAATAATGGTATTAGTTAAGTCATTAAAAACAACTTCGGAGAAATACTTAGCTGCAGTGGCGACAGTGGCGTACGCAGGATTTTCCAATTGGGTGGGGGGGGGGGGCTTGAAAATTAGTTACAATTTTATTTTTATTTTGTCAAGTCTTATAATTTCAGACGTTTATTTGAGGTATTTTAAAATGTTTTTGACTTCTCAACATTTCTGGTAGAAAAAATGCTCTGATCATGCGAACTTCAATGCCTGATATGTATGCGTATGTTCTTAGGAGCAAATCGGATCTAGTTGGTACTTTAGGAGGTTGAAATTGAACTGATCAGTGCTTTTTAAATAATTAAAGAAAAAAAAATGAAAATTCATTAAAATTGTTTGGTAACCAGCTTGGTTATACCGTTCTCACTTGGATTGTATTTGGTTAATTAAAATTTTTTTTTTCTATAAATGTCAATACAAAATTATTTATCCCATCAAAAAGCTTAAGAATGTAATACGTAAGTTTTTACTATACCTAAAATATAAACGATACATAGGCATCATGGTTATTTTTATAAGCATTTAAAGTTCAAATTTCGTCAAATCCACAGTTAATTTGTACAAAACTTATAAAATATTAAATGTGTACCTACCTATAGCTAAGGCTAGACAATTTAATACAAGGTCTTTCGTACAAGTTGTTCATAAATTTACCTAAAAATTACAGCTGATAACTTTAGGAAAATTGGTATGCAAATTATACAATGTTTTTTCAAAAATGAATTCATTCTGGTAAAACGCATATATGAAATTTACGTCTTGCTTACTGTAGTTGACAGTTGAAACTAGATAAATAATTTTCGATAAAGTAATAATAATACGGGCAATGGTGGGGGGCGGCTTTAGCCCGTTAGCCTCCCATCCCCTGCGGACGCCAATGCAGTTAGCTGTATACAAACTACGAGTCATTTAAAACATTAATATTATTATTATTTTTTATTTAAAAATATATATTTACAAATTTACAATCTATACGACAAGGTATAATAACTAATAAGTAAGTGTGGTGACATAAAATAACATTTGGCATAGCCGCATAGGAATATTAATTGTAGAGTAGGAATAGGAAGGCTCTCAGCAGTGCCATCTAACATTTTTTTGTTTTCGTTAGTTAATCAATTTTTTTTTTTAATCATTGAGCAGGTCTCTTTGCCATTTCCTTTTTAACCTTCTAGCCTCTAGGAATGATTAAGATAGAGGATATACTTTTAATTATTGGATTTGAATACATTATTATTTATTAGTAATTTGTAAATGATTCTTAATCGTAGTACGAACCTGAAATTTAATTAGGTAATATAGTAAATACCACTCGCCATTTTGCTTTTTTAAACCTTAAGCCGCTCAGGTTGGTTGTCCGACTAGCGTATAATTAATTATTGCCTATAGGCTATACTACTACAGAGCCTATAAACTGGCAATAATTGCCAGTGACTAGTGAGGCACTGAGGTCCCTATCAAGCACGTGACCGAATGTGGCATTGGCGTATGGCACTTCATTATAAATTAAAAAATCATATCTAATATTAAATTTTAAAATATGAATTGTTGATTTATGGTAAATTACATAGTAATGCACTTCGCGTCTTCGCCAGTATCTATTTGATGTGACTATGTGGAACCAAGCTTTTTCACTGGGTGAAATTTTACTATTGATATTTACAGAAAACAAAAATTGAAATATAAAATGTCTTCAAATACCTCAAAAAGTGTAGAAATAATTTGAAAATTATACCATTTATACTTATGGAAGAAAATTGGTACCTATAGACGGAAACTGGTTTTGCGGAAAAATCCCGTTTTTCCTTATTTTTTTTTTTTGTTTTTTCTTACGGACATTTTTAATTTTCGGTAAAGCGCGATTGAGCATAAAACGATTGAGCATATACCTTTTTAGCAACACGATTGAGAATAGAATATTTTATGAGATGTTGCCACATTCAAGTGGCCGAAATTTATTATTTATTATTTTCACGTATTATTACACTAATTTATTATGATACCAGACGCGAGCCGTGAGCTGATCCCAGCTTTATCGACAATGCTATCAATTAATAAATTAGTTACGCTAGGCAATTTTTACCCCAGGTGATTTTTACCCACCACGGTAAAATTTGTTGGTGGGTAAAAATCGCCTGTTAGGTTAGGCGATGTTTACCTCAGGCGATTTTTACCTCAGGCGATTTTTACCCCCCCGGTAAAATATACAGGGGGGTAAAAATCGCCTGTTACATAATGGCGCACCTAACATTTAACAGCTAGGTATGTAGTGGCATACACGTTTTAGAAATATTGTTATATTGTTTTCCTATCATAAATATTACGTAGATTTCAATTTTCCGAGAAAAAGTTGATTTTACCAAAGCAAATACCAAAAATTCTGAATAATTAAAAATTATAACAAATGCGACTTCTTACACCAGTATTGGGGTAAAAGTGCGCATCTAATGGGGTAATAGGCCGCATGCTAAATTAATTTATAAAAAGGTGGGTAAGTGGATGTCGCTCTGCTGTACAGTAGGTTACAAGTGGGTCACTGTATAATGGATGGTATTAAATTTGAATCCAATGATACAATATCATTGTATAAGAAAAACGATTCTGAGCGAAGACGGTATGTCAGTCTAGGTTTAAGACATATTATATACATATCTATGGTATTAAAAAAAAATTGACCTATAATAAATTCCAAATTAATCATATCACAATATCCATTAGGTACTTATAACACGTTATACATCAATAACAAACCCTGATACTATCATAGATATATAATATAGTGTACTTTAGAAGTTTCAAGTACCCATGAATAGTATTATACACTCACAACAAAATAACTAAAATAGGTATGCTAGGTTTTTGATTATGTAATTTTGTCCCAAATCTGAACTTAAAATGTCTGTAAAAAATAACTGTGCTCATATATTTTTTAGATTTTTTGGCTACAGTATGAACTATTTATGAGAATATTTTTTTTAAATTTTCAATCTTTAGCTATAAAAACTGAACATTTTATAATTTATTAATTACGATGATTGATAATTTTCGAGATTTTGATAAATTTTGTCAAAATGCGATCTTTAAATGCTTATAAAAAAAAAATTGTGCCTATGTATTTTTAATATTTTTCAATTAATATTGTAACAATATATCGGGAGCCTTGTATTAATTTTTCACACTTTTTGGCCCAACAGATAAAA